TGGTTAGGGGGAATCATCCTTATCTCCCTGAGTTCTGGGATCTGGTCTGTGTAAGGGTCACTAAAGTCTCTGCTTCGGGGAAACTGGTGCTCCTCATATCTGCATTCGGGGCCTGCTAGTCCTGTAGGCTGTTTGCTGAAGAATGTAAGGAGGCCTGTGGCTTATTTTCCAGCCAGGGCGGCAGGAAAATGGCTTTTGGAAAAGAGAAAGCACGAGGGGGCAGCACAGTGGGCCCAGTTTAGAGAATTATTCCCTTAGTCTCCTGTTCCCATGGCTCACACGTGGTCCGTCCCCATCATTCGGGACTTGGGGAGAAAAGGGGAGTTTCCAACCCTATGACCTCTCCCTCCTCTCTCCTCCAGGGCTCCAGCAGAGCCCAAGCCTATTTGGTTCATAGATTCCAAGTGACATGATGGAGAGTTTCTCCTTGACATTGTCCGGAAGCACGTGGCCATCTTCCCAAGCAAGATCTGTTGCAGTATCCAGGGCAGCACAGGGGTAGTGATGGGAAGGCCTGTTTCAACCCTCCACACACACAGACCAGCTGAGGCTCAGAGAGACTCAGGATAGGTCCAAAGACACACAGCTCACTTGAACTACTTGAGAATTCTTAGGCTATCCAAAAAGTATCTCTTTAAATTTGATTCCTTCTGTAAAAACATAATTATGCAGGAAGAAGAGTTTTGCAAGAAAAATACCATGATGGACATTTTTATTCTAGAATCCCAAGAGCTTCCAGTCTCCTCTATGAACTCATCTTTCTTCTTTTCTTCCTATCTTTTCTCTATTTTTTCCTGGGTTTTGGAATGAGGAGAGAAGTCAGTCCTGCGCACCATAGAACCTTCCAAGCGATCCCGAAGGGGGTGGACGSGGACATTTGAAACAAATGGCCTTTAATTGGCGTTAGCAACCAGGTAAGGGCAATAGAACAGAATACAGGAGAGGCAGTGGGGGAGGGGAGCCATCTCCATAAACTTACCTGAAGTCCCTCAGGTCCCCGCCACACGCCAGTGAGAAGAAGAAAACTTGGGACGAGCAGTTAAAGCACCCGCTGGAAACCATCTCCAAGGCACCAGCATTGAGAAGCACCCAATGGGAGGTGTCGGATGAGGAGGGAGGGCACCCTTGTGAATGCATTAATGTGGATTATGAAGGTCTGTGGCCCCAACTCCATCCCTTGTCCCCGCTCTTGCCATCTCCCATCCTCCCATCTTCCACCTTCTTTCGAGAGATGATATAGCAAAAGGCCCTCACCCAATGCCAGCACTTTGTACTCCCTGTCTCCAGAGCACAGAGAGATAAATAGCCTCCACTGGTTATGAATCACCTGGTCTATGTGTTCTGTTATAGCGCCACGGAGGGGACCAAGGCCCGGGTCCTACAGGCACTGAGTGGCAGAAGAGGCCTCAGGCCACACGTATGTTTGCACCTCTTTTCCTCCTCGAGTTCTACTGAGATGCACCAGAGTTTGCAAAGACTGACTTCTAGGAGAGAGATGGTCCCATAGGCTGAGGGCATGTGTCCCCCCTGAGCCTTCCACCCCATGTGCCCCTGGATGGATCAGAATTTTAGAATGGATTTAAGAGACAGCCCAGTGGGAACAGAAAGGAAAGAAAAAAAGAACACACTAGGATCTTGTCACTTTTAGGCAATTGCCAACTGGTCACGATTTGGAACAACAACAACTGGAACTCTCACTTGGAGAGTGAAATCATTCAGCTCGGGAGAACTGCTTGGGTGTGACACCGTGAAACGTCTACTTCTAYGTCCCAGCTGTTCTGCTCCTAAATATATACCTAAGAGAACGGAGGAGCTACGTGACTGGTGACAGTTCACAACGACTTCACCYATCTCAGCGCCAAACTGGATACAAGCCAAATGGTCCCCCACAGGAGAGAGGAGAGATGATGGTGGTGTCTGCCAGTGGAATAACCCTCAAGCTACAAAAAGTAGGTGGAGGGGAACAACCCCCCAGGAGGGGCACAGATGAGCCCTCTGATGGCTGCCTACATTCCAGACCTTAGCTGGGTGGTGGCCCCACAGGCATTTCCGTTCTTAAAAYCTCAGCAAACTAGGTAAACGATATCTCAAGAAAAGTCTGTTGATGCTGGTGATGAGAATCACCCATTTCTCAGAAGTGAAGACTGAACACCTGAGAAACACAGGGAGCTGGGTGTCGAGGAAGTGGGGGTGTCCTGCCCCTCTATACTTCTTAGATTTTATTTGTTCTCGTGCTCTGTCCTCCCCCCATCTTGCCCATCTTGCGTATGTGATTAGGGGCCAAAAGGTGGGCCAAAGGTGGAGGGATCCTGGGCAGGAAAATGATCCTGGGGCCCAGGAGGCCTTCATTCATTAACAGCCCCTGGTGAGGAGGAACAATTCCCTGGAGAAGGGGGACAAGTCCTGAAAGTATTAGCCTTTCATTTTCCCCCCTGAACCAACCCCCCCCATCTTTCTGACTCAATCATTTATGACCTACACTGATGGCCTTGTCCCCCGGCTTCACCCTTAGAAGAAAAAAAAAAAATCTCCCAGAGCCTAAGAGAGGCCCAGAAAGCAAATACCTTTGCAAAACCTTGTGCTTTGCAGGTGAGTCACAGTAACTGACCTCACTGGTGAGTCCAGTCCCCAAGGAGGGCCCCAGGGCGCTGCTCCAGGCAGCCTGGGGAGGGTCCACAGTCAAACCCACACGCCAGGGTGTTCTTGGACTACTCAAGGCATCAGGGAGATGCCTTCCAGGCACTGTGCCAGGCCAGAGGATTCTGACCCAGGCAGCTCCCCAGACTGCTGAGCCACCGTGCACTCCTGGGTTGCTCTGAGCTTGGTGAGAGGCAGCCCTCAGGGAAGCTCCTTCTCAGAGCTTGCATCCAGGTCTTTGCCTGCATTCCTGGCTTCTCAGCACTGTGGACTGACAGGTCTTTTCAAACTGCACATCTGACGTCTCACCCCTACTAGGATGGCTACAACTTAAACAAACAGACAACAGCAAACAGAACTATTGGTGAGGGTGTGGAGAAACAGGAAGCTCCTGAACTGTGGGTGGGAATGTAAGAGGGTACAGCTGCTGTGGAAGACAGGAGGATGGTTCCTTAGGAAAAAACTCCCAGCAACTTGGGAGGCTGAGGCAGGCTGATGGCAATTTCAAGGCCCGCCTCAGCAATTTAGGGAGGGCCTTCAGCAATTTAGTGAGATGCTGTCTTTCAATAAATAATGAAAAGGGYTGGGGATGTGACTCAGGTCAAAACCCAGTACCAAATTAAAAAAAAAAAATCAAGATGGGGTGTTATGCTCGAGTTCGGGATCCCCAAAACACCACCAGAGACCAAGATCCATGTAAGCAGCAAAGAGGTATGTATTGCGAGCTAGCTCGGTCCTCCACGCACACAGCAACTGGTGACGCTGAGAGGCCCCGAGCCCAGGGTTTGCAGCAGTTTTATACACTCTTTGGGGAAGGCAGGGACTTCACATACATCATAGCATCTCTTAGAAAATCATCACACCCCGCGGAAAAATCATAAAACAACTCTTAACATTGATTAGCACAGTCACTGGGGGGAACAAGTTGGGTAAGGGTGATTGGTTAGTACCAGAGGGGGATTCGTTTGAACTGATTGGTTTAAGCCATGAGGGGTGTACGTGCTGAACTACATGGTTTCTCAACGTGTTATCAACCACCATAAACTACTGGGGGGGTCATCTGGCATCCCAGGTATTTTCCTTGTCTCATGCTGATTGGTGGCTGCTAGGGGGTTGCTATGGGTCCTCACCTAGCCTGATTGAGTCAGGGACACCTGGTGCAGCGGATCTCTCCTGTTATTTGTAGATAAACAACTCAGCAGGGTGGGTCTGTGCCTAGGAGTGCTCTGTGGGTTTTTCCAAAGACAAGGGTCACGYCCTCTTCCTTGGACAGGCTTTGCTCTGAGGTAGAGGCTGGTTTCTCAAAAATGGAGTCACATCAGTTTCTCAATGGTAAATTTCCTTAGGTGTATTTTACTAAGTTAC